GGCACATAACAACAACAACGAGTAAGTGGGAAGCTCTGGAAGCATAGTGCTTAAGGCACTTGACTGCTAACCAGAAGGCTGGTGGTTCAAATCCACCACCCACTCCTTGGAAGGAAGGTTGGGCAACCTACTTCCATAGTGATACTGCCTCGGAAACCCAAGGAGGGTTCGCTGTGAGTCGGGTCCGACTTGATGGCACATAAAAACAAGAACAGCAAGTAAGTGTAGGATGAATCCTATTTGATTACCATACAGGTTATCACCCTTGTCTCAGTGTTGTTAATAAAGAGGACAACTGGTTGGCACAAAAAGAAAGGGCAAGAAACTTGTTTTTGTCATTAAAAATAATCATCACCAAGAGAACCACTGCCATTAAGTCACCATTCAAAAATGGAAAAGCAAATCTTCCTTTCTCCCAAAGCATCATGACATTTTATTAAGTGCAAAGCATTCATCATTTAAATCCCATTTAAAACTATTTGGAATATTCGATGCTTATTTCAGATTGTGTAGGAAAGGCGATGAATTACACAATAATAAGTGAGAGTTTTATAGCAGTTCCTAACCTTAGCACATGTGTTAAAGAGTTTAATTTTGTGAAACACTTGGAATTTTTTTCAGTGCGAAATAATTTCTCAGATGGAAAGGATAAAAGTTAGAATTTCAGTCACTTAGCAAATTCTTTTTCTTTGCCTGATAAAGTCATACCAATTGTTCTGGTGAAGCACACCCAACAGGTATTCTAGGTCACGAGGAAAAATCAGTACATTCTTTTCTTCTCAGTTTAGCAAACAATACATTTATATTCAACAACACATTTCTCTGCTTTTTACATATTATCTTGTACTGGGTTCTGCTCTCTTCCCTCAGAAAAGGACATGACATAAGAAACTCACCATCATCAGCCAGCTCAACATTATCCTCACTAATACTGTCAATTTGAGGTGGAAGATCAGGAAGGAATAATAATATAATAAGCTAAAATGTGCTGTTACAGGAATAAACATACTATCTAGAACAGTGGACAAGTGAACAGAAAAACATTCAAAGAACCTTAAAAATCAACTCACCTTACAGTATCTTAAAGCCTCCATTAACGTTAAGAAGCCTACAGATGCTTGTTTATGTATACCAAGAAGTTCTGTTAGGAAAAAAAAAAAAAAGTTAGCACTGTGTTAGTATACACAAATCTGAAAAGTTATTGTTGTTGTTGTTATATGCTGCCGAGTCGGCTATGACTCATAGCGACCCCTCCTTGGGTTTCCGAGGTGTTATCACTATGGAAGTAGATTGCCCAATTATCCTTCCAAGGAAACCTGAAAAGTAGCTATATGTAAATATCTGTACACATGTACAGATATAATACACACTAATAACTCTTACTCAAAACTATAAGAGTTTACATTAAATAGTTATTATGGAACCACTCATTATAAATATCATTAGATCAGGTTTGTAGTTGGCAAATGTGATACTCAGATGCATATTAAATGTATTTTATAAAACTTTCTATCAAAACTTTTTTAATAAAGCAAATTTCCCCTGAAATCTACAAAATTACTGGCAAAAAATAAAACGACACTTAATACTATCCATGCAAAGTGGCTAACTTGAATTGACTTTGATTTAGAAAAATAAGTGGATATGCTGATCTTAATTCTAAGATTTATCTCTGAGTGGTAGGGAACTGACTTGGGCAATATTTAAAATATGAACATTTGATAATGATCCTTCTCTCCTGTAAGCAAGAACAAGCAGTGTGCTTAAGACTGGAGAAATAATGATGAACAGAAAGTAGTCTCTGCCTTTCAGAGGCTAAGTCCTGTTTCAAGGGACATAGACCAAAGAAAAGTGTGTCCCTTCTCTGCAGACATCTGTGCAAGTGCACATGTACATACAAATGCACACAGTGACATAAAAGCATTTGCTCGAACTGTCAGGAAAAGTTTACAGAGTGGTAATATTTGAGTTGAATCTTAAAGCATATGCAGGAGTATTCTACATGATAAGAAAATTTAAGGCAGAGAAAACAGCCTAAAAAAGGCAAAAAATACAACAGTCAACATATTTGAGAAGCAAAGAAACTGTGACAACTTCCTTAGAGGTTTCTAGCCTGGGGAATCTGATAAATGGTTATTAACTAAAAAAGAGTTAAGAAGCATGGTCTGGAATAAAGTGGAGAAAGAGAATGAGTTGGTTTTAGACATGCTGAGATTGAGTTCCTTTAAGACTTCTAGCCAGAGATGGCTAAATAACTGGAATTAAGGCTCAGAAACATAAGAGATTAGGGTTGAATACAGAGATTTGGGAATCATCAGAACAGATATGACAGTTAAAGGCAGGGATATGGATAAAATACAAAAAACAAAGCACAGAGAATTTAAAGATGAGATTGTTTCACAACATAGATATAATTGCAATGATAAAGTCTTTCCAGAGACATAGCCTTCAGCTAATGTACATTAAATAACTATGTAATAATATACTTGGGCTCATACATATTTCTAAAAAGCATTTTTTTTCTGGTTCAAGATTTTATCCACTATAGCACACAGAATATAAAATTTTGCATCCTTTTCACCATCTGGATACATTCTGTCTATTTTTCTTTTAGAATATTATGCTTTTCTTATCACCTACTATAATAAAAATATTAACTTGGTCATTTTTGTTGTAAATACTTTACTATTTATTCTTAAGCATGACATTTAAGTAATATAAACCAAGAACTGGTACTTTAAATTTTTGGATTTATAAATTCAAAATTAATATAAGGTTAAGTATACATGTAGGAGCTCTGGTGGCATAGTCCCTCAGGCATCTGACTGCTAACCAGAAGGCTGGTGGTTCAAACCCACCAGGCATTGCTCCTTGGAAGGAAGATTGGGCAATCTACTTCTGTATTGACACTGCTACAGAAACCCAAGGTGGGGTCGTTATCAGTCGGATATAGTTTTTAGATCGTCACCAGCTTCTTACAGGCACAGACTGGATTAGAACAAAGGTTCTCGTATTGTGGCGTGGGACTCTTAGGGGTCCATAAGACCCTTTTAGGGACTATATGAGATCAAAATAAGATGCTAATTACCATTTATACTCTTACTCTCTCATGAGTGTAGAGTTTTCCAGATGCTAAATGGTGTGTTATAACAATAGATCTGAATGCAGAAACACATGAGAATCTTGCTGTCTACCAATAAGCAAGATGTTAAAGAGGTTTGAAAAAATTTAAAACAAAACCATTCTTTTAATCATTAAAATTTTATGTGGTAAAATATATATAACAAAAAAGTTTGCCATTTTAACAGTTTTTAAGTGTATAATTCAGTGACATTAATTACTTTTACCAATTGATTTCACAAAGTTTACATGACTCCAAAAAGAATCTGAGCACCCTCAACAATAAGTCCCATTCCCTCTTCCCCTATGTCTTCCCCTATGTGTTAATCAATAATTAACTTTAGAGTCGATGCATCTGCCTATTCTAAATATTTCACATAGGTGGGATTCTACAGTATTTATCCTTTTAGGTCTGACTTACATTACTCACCATGTTTTAAGGTTAATCCATGCCATAGCATGTATCAGGATTTCATATCCCTTTATGGATGAATAATATTCCATTTTACTACTGTACCACACTTTATTTATCTATTCCTCAGTTGATGGACACTTGTGCTACTTCCACCTTTTGGCTACTGTAAACAATGCTGCATGGAACATTGATGTACAAGTATCTGCATCATAGCTTTCAAGTCTTTTAGGTATATACCTAAGGAGCCTTGGTTTAATACTTGGATGCTAATGGAAAGGTCGGCAGTCTGAACCCACTGGCCACTCCATGGGAAAAAGACCTGATGATCTACTCCCATAAATATTTACAGCCTAGGAAACTCTGAGAGGCAGTTCTACTCTGTCCTATATGGTCACTACGAGAGGGAATCAAGTAGATGGCACACAACAGTAACAACAAGAGAGTATAAGGTGGCTTACTATTTTCTTTCATTTTGTTTTAGAAAAGTTATTTTCTCATAAAAATATTATCCTTAAAATATTAATAATCCATTTAAAATTGATCAGTTTTAATTTCTATCATGAAAAATGTTGATCATTATCTGCTTATATTCTCTTATGATGACCCAGTAAGAGCTCTAAGGGATCCTCAATAATTTTTAAGAGTATAATGGGCATAAGACCAAAAAGTTTGAGAAGCACTGGACTGAAACACTCAAAGGAGAGAGGAAACAGGGGTGAGTACGGAGAAGTGGGTATTCTTTAGCCTTATAAATTTACCCTCCTCTTCCATCTGAAAGGTTTGCATAACAAATGTTTTCACGTTCAAAAATAGACATTCTGGGAAATAGTGTCACAAGTTAATTTTTAAAATCAATTACCACCACCTAGTGTTATGATGAGATACTACATCATCTATTTCCTTACAATTTTAAACAAATATCGAGTGGCGTAGTGCCTAAGGCATTTGACTGCTAACCAGAGGCTGGTGGTTCAAACCCACCAGGCATTGCTCCTTGGAAGGTAGATTGGGCAATCTACTTCTGTAGTGATACCACCTTGGAAACCCAAGGAGGGGTCACTATGAGTTGGATGCAACTTGACAAGCAGAGTTTGGTTTTTCGGTTTTCTAAATACAGCAAACTACAGATTCGTGATTCCTAGGTAATAAATTATTTAGATTAGGTCACTAATCATCTGTTTAGGGATCTATTTTGGATGGTAATACTTAAAATATATACCTATTTCTTTGCACAGAATATATACTTAAAATTTTTATCTTCTTTTGACAGCAACAGTGTATCGCTAAGAATATTTATTAGCATAGTGCCTAAGGCACTTGACTACTAACCAGAAGACTGGCAGTTCAAACCCCGCAGCCACTCCCTGGAAGGAAGGTTGGGCAATCTACTTCCATGGTGATAATGCCTTGGAAACCCAAG